GTCATGATCTTCTGGTTTATGAGTTCGAGCCCCACATCGGGCTCTGTGCACACAGCTCAGAGCCTGCTTGAGATCTTCTGTCTCCCTCTCTCTCTGGTATTCCCAAACTTGTACTCTCTCTCTAAAAAATAAGTAAACAATGGGGTGCCTGGGTGGCTCAGTCAGTTGAGTGTCTGACTTCGGCTCAGGTCATGACTTTGCAGTTCATGAGTTCGAGCCCCATGTCAGGCTCTGTGTTGACAGCTCAGATCCTGGAGCCTGCTTCAGATTCTGTGTCTCCCTCTCTCTCTCTGCCCTTCCCCACCTTGTGCTCTGTCTGTCTCTCTCAAAAATAAATAAATATTTTTAAATGTTTAATAAACAAATAAATATTAAAAATAATAACTGAAAATAACATATTTTTTAATTAAATTAAAAAATAAAATTTTGTTCATAATGGATTTTTTTTGCATCAATTTCCTTTTTTTTTTTTCCTAATATCTACACCCAACATGGGGCCCTAACTCCCAACCCTGAGATCAAGAATCTCATGCTCTTCTAACTGGGCCAACCAGGCCTTTAAATATTGCATTAAAATATTGTTTTCTTTTTTTTTAATTTTTTAAAATGTTTTATTTATTTCTGAGAGAGAGAGAGAGAGAGACAGCGTGAGCAGGGGAGGGTCAGAGAGAGAGGGAGATACAGAATCTGAAACAGGCTCCAGGCTCTGAGCTGGCTGTCAGCACAGAGCCTGACGAGGGGCTCGAACCCACGGACCGTGAGATCATGAACTGAGCAGAAGTCAAATGCCCAACCGACTGAGCCACCCAGGCGCCCCTGAAATACTGTTTTCTTGATCAGTGAGTCTGGGGGCCCCTCAGATTTTGCAGCCAAAGCAAATCTGGCTCACTCACTTCCCCCTAGGACTAGCCTTCTGTGGTATAGGATCGGATCCAACAGTGGTGGGCTTGGTACAGCGTTGAAGGCTGCACCGAGCTGGGGCAGACGGGAGGCCCCTGCGCCTGCCCAGGGTGCGGCCTCTGAGGCCAGCAGACTCCTCTCGTCTGACAGCCTTTTCAGGCGGCGGCCCAGGAAACCACTGAGGGCTACAGAGCTGCCCTCAAAGCACCGGAGGTTGAGGGGTCCGGGGAGGGAGGCGGCACGCAGGCGAGGAGCCATGAGACTTTGGGTTACACAGTGCCTTCTTCCCCCTTTTCTCCGGGCCTCAGTTGCTCCATTTGTGCAATGGGCACTACATAGCACTGAGTTCAGACCAGGGGGCCAAGAGTCACGCAGGGGCAATCTGGCACAGGCGGTGGCATCCACCAGCACCTCGCCAGGGAAAGCCCCAGCATTCACAGTCCCATCCCAGCCTCCAGCCCAGCACCTGACTTTGGTGACGGGAACAGGATGCAGCGGGACTCACTAAGCAAGACAAATACTATTTTAGCATAGTACTTTCAAAATTCAAGGGGTGCCTGGGCTGCCTCAGTCGGTTCAGCGTGCAACTCTTGAACCCCAGGGTCATGATGAGTTCAAGCCTCACGTTGGGCTTGGGCGTAAAGCCTACTTAAAAAAAAATAAAATAAATATGGGGCGCCTGGGTGGCTCAGTTGGGTAAGCGTCCGACTTCGGCTCAGGTCATGATCTCACGGTTTGTGGGTTCGAGCCCCGTGTTGGGCTCTGTGCTGACCGCTCAGAGCCTAGAGCCTGCTTCAGATACAGTGTCTGCCTCTCTCTCTGACCCTCCCCTGCTCATACCGTCTCTCTCTCAGAAATAAATAAAACATTGAAAGATCTTTTAAAAGAAATAAAAAATTAAATTAAATAAATAAAATTAAATAAAACAAAATAAAATAAAATTCAAATTGGCAGGGCACCTTGCCACCTCAGTCAGTAAAGCATGCAACTCTTTTTTTTAATAATTTATTTATTTTTTAATTTCCATCCAAGTTAGTGTAGAGCATGTGACTCTTGATCGCGAGGCTGTGAGTTTGAGCCCCATGTTGGATGTAGAGATAAATAGATAGATAGATAGATAGATAGATAGATAGATAGATAGATGGATAGATAGATAAAATTTTTTTAAATAACATTTTAATTGGCAAACTATGACCTCCAGGCCAGCCATCAGTTTTTTCTTTTTTTTTCAAAAAAACTTTTTTTTTTAATTTCTAGGAGAGAGAGAGAGAGACAGTGTGAGCAGGGGAGAGTCAGAGAGAGAGGGAGATACAGAATCTGAAACAGGCTCCAGGCTCTGAGCTAGCTGTCAGCACAGAGCCAGACGCGGGGCTCGAACCCACGAACCGCGAGATCATGACCTAAGCGAAAGTCAGACGCTTAACCGACTAAGCCACCCAGGCGCCCCTTATAAATAAATGTTTCATTGGAACAAACTGCTTGGGCTCAAATCTTGGTTCCTACCTTACCCGTCTGATCTTGTGCTAGTTCTGTTGCTTTTCTCAGCCTCAGTTTCTTCATCTGGGAAATGGAGAGAAGAGCAATCCCCAGGCCAAAGATTCCCTCTTCAGATTAAATCCAATAATGCACATAAGCCCTTTGAGCAATGACTGCCCCTCAGGGGACACTAAATCACAGCAATGGTCATTGTTATTATTAGTTGCTATTGTCATAGTATTCGAATTTTTTTTAATTTTTTTGTTTATTTATTTTGAGGGGGGCCAGGGAGGGGCAGCCAGGGAGGGAGAGAGAGAATCCTAAGAGGGCTCTGCGCTGTCAGCACAGAGCCTGACTTAGGGCTCAATCCCATGAACTATGAGATCATGCCCTGAGCAGAAACCAAGAGTCGGATGCTTAACTGAATTAAGGCACTCCTAGAATGTTTTTAAGTGTATTTATTTAAGTGATCTCTATGCCCAACGGAGGGCTCAAACTCATGACCCAGAGATCAAGAGCCACCTCCTCTACCAACTGAGCCAGCCAGGTGCCCCAGGAAATGTTTAAATAAGAAGCAGACATTCATGGGGGGAGTCAACATGGGTACACATGCTAAGAGTCCACAGGCATCTAGTGCCCACCGTGTGCTAGGCCTATTCTGTGCATTCCGCATCTGTGCACCCATTTAAGCCTCACAATAATTCCTCACTTTATTGGCAAGAGACTAGTGTCATTCCCGTTTTCAGCTGAAGACCGAGGCACATGGCAATGATACCACTAGCAGGGATCACATACCCCGTAAGTGTGTCACCTGGATTCAAATGCAGGCAGTCTGGCTCCAGAGTCCAGGCCCCTCCACTATGATGCTCCATGTCCCCCTGATGGGCACACTGCCCCAGACACACAACCACATGCTGACAGCCTTTTACTCATTCTGTCACACTCCAAACTGCCATCCTGAGAGTCCCTCTTACACACCGGTTTACCATGACCGGTAGAGATGACCTCAGCCATGCACGCTTGGTCACACGTTGTGACTGCCATCTACCCCAAGGCCACCTATCATGCATCAACCTCCTCACAGCCACAGCACACTAGTCTCTCTGTCACAGAACAGCTCCCGAGGAACCAGGGCTTGATGGACCCCTGCCCAACGTCTCTCCCTTGGAATTTTTCTTTCCTTTTTTTTTTTTTTTTAATGTTTATTTTTGAGAGAGTGAGCACATGCATGCATGGGGGAGGGGCAGAGAAAGAGAGAGAGACAGGGGATCTGAAGCAGGCTCTGTGCTGACAGCAGAGAGCCAGATACAGGGCTCGAAACCACAAACCAAGTGATCATGATCTGAGCCGAAGTCAGATACTTAACCAACTGAGCCACCCATGTGTCCTGGAATTTTTCCAGTGATACTGTCCCTGAGGCCATAGCTGCAGGTGGGAGGACACTCTAACTCTTTGATGGACAGATGGACACCTGAGCCCCAGAACAGGAAGGAACCAGCCAAAACATACAGCAGCAAGGCCACTGCTGAGCTGCGGGGGCCTCCTGCCCAGCCAGTAGATTCCTGAGGGACCCGGCTTTTCCCTTCACCCACCTTTAGTGCCTGGGCTGGACTTCAGGCTCCAGAAAAATGTGGGGCACCTTCCCTTTGCCTTTGCTGCCCCTCACACTAAGTTTGGACTTAGGAACAAAGCAGGGAGATTGAAGGGGCCTCTCATGCCTCATCTGGGCCAGATCCCTGCCCACCTGGGAGCTGAGGTCCCTCCCACCCCCCGTCGCTGTTGAGTGCTTTCACTCCAGGCTTTCTACCACCAGGCCCCGCACAACTTACCCGGCTGCCCTCATGGAGGGTCTGATCCAGCTTCAAACGCCGCCCTCCTTCTCTCTCTCTCTGTATCTCTCTCTGTCTCCATCACAGGCACACACACAGACACACACACGCACAGGGAAACATGCAGACACAGTAACATACACCTCTTTCCCCTTATCTTCCTCCCCCGCCTTCCCATCTTATTCGATGGAAGAATCCCACTGAAGGTCCAAATGCTCAGAGAAAGGACAAGTGGGTCCTAATCATACTCACCTCCTCGGTCGCTGGGGCCAGGTCTTGGAGCTGCTCAGAGCCACGGTTGCCTCAGCGAAGTGGGGATCATAAGGGACCTGCCTCCCAGAGACGTACAACAGTTAAATTAGATAATTCAATTAAGCGCTCAGTGCTGTGTCTGGCTTGTAGTAACTCCCTAGTAAATGAGAGCTTTAATAAAATTGAGTGAAGTGCTTTGAAAAGTTGGCAGTAGTGTATACAAAGCGGGTCTCCCAACTCCTGCCACATGAGTTAAGCAAGACGGGAATTAGTGGCAATTCCCCGATGAGAAAATTGAGGCTCGGAGTCTGAGGGGGGGCTCCGATCTCTGCATGCCAACCCTCCTCCCCCCAGTGCCGCTGGCACATCCAGTCGTGGCTGGGTAGGTGCGTTATAAATGACTCTGCGGGGCCACCAGTAAGCAAGGGGGTGGTATCTTGCCTAAAGATCTGAGAAGACAGAGGCTGTGTTCCCAGCACCTTGCACTCCGAGCTGTCAGAGATGACTGGCAGCCCAACCAAAGGCTGTGTCCTCTCTTTACAGGTGATGACCTCCCCCTGAGGAAGCCCTGTAGTGTGATTAGAGGGCCCAGCCCCACCCGGCCGACATGAATACCTCGGCCCCACCCGCCGTCAGCCCCAACATCACGGTTCTGGCACCGGGAAAGGGTCCCTGGCAAGTGGCCTTCATTGGGATCACCACGGGCCTCCTGTCCCTGGCCACAGTGACGGGCAACCTGCTGGTCCTCATCTCCTTCAAGGTCAACACTGAGCTCAAGACAGTCAACAACTACTTCCTGCTCAGCCTGGCCTGTGCTGACCTCATCATCGGTACCTTCTCCATGAACCTCTATACCACATACTTGCTCATGGGCCACTGGGCTCTGGGCACCCTGGCCTGCGACCTCTGGCTGGCCCTGGACTACGTGGCTAGCAATGCCTCCGTCATGAACCTGCTGCTCATCAGTTTTGACCGCTACTTCTCCGTGACCCGGCCCCTGAGCTATCGAGCCAAGCGCACGCCCCGCCGGGCGGCCCTGATGATCGGCCTGGCCTGGCTGGTTTCCTTCGTCCTCTGGGCCCCCGCCATTCTCTTCTGGCAGTATCTGGTAGGGGAGCGGACAGTGCTGGCCGGGCAGTGCTACATCCAGTTCCTCTCCCAACCCATCATCACCTTTGGCACAGCCATGGCCGCCTTCTACCTCCCCGTCACGGTCATGTGCACGCTCTACTGGCGCATCTACCGGGAGACGGAGAACCGGGCCCGGGAGCTGGCGGCCCTGCAGGGCTCCGAGACGCCTGGTAAGGGGGGCGGCAGCAGCAGCAGCTCAGAGCGGTCCCAGCGGGGGACTGAGGGCTCCCCAGAGACCCCTCCAGGGCGCTGCTGTCGCTGCTGCCGGGCCCCCCGGCTGCTGCAGGCCTACAGCTGGAAGGAAGAAGAGGAAGAAGATGAAGGCTCCATGGAGTCCCTCACGTCCTCAGAGGGTGAGGAGCCTGGCTCTGAGGTGGTGATCAAGATGCCCATGGTGGACCCCGAGGCGCAGGCCCCCGCCAAGCAGCCCCCCCGGAGCTCTCCCAACACAGTCAAGAGGCCGACCCGGAAGGGGCGCGAGCGAGCAGGCAAAGGCCAGAAGCCCCGTGGGAAGGAGCAGCTGGCCAAGCGGAAGACCTTCTCGTTGGTCAAGGAGAAGAAGGCGGCTCGGACCCTGAGCGCCATTCTGCTGGCCTTCATCCTCACCTGGACACCATACAACATCATGGTGCTGGTGTCCACTTTCTGCAAGAACTGTGTTCCCGAGACCCTGTGGGAGCTGGGCTACTGGCTGTGCTACGTCAACAGCACCATCAACCCCATGTGCTACGCACTCTGCAACAAAGCCTTCCGGGACACCTTCCGCCTGCTGCTGCTCTGCCGCTGGGAAAAACGTCGCTGGCGCAAGATCCCCAAGCGCCCCGGCTCCGTGCACCGCACCCCCTCCCGGCAATGCTGAGGGCCCCTCGCCTGCGCCCCGCCACCCCAGTCCAGTCCCCGGGAGGGCCGGGGAGGAAGCGGGCAGGGGATGCGACCTCAGACCCAGGGCCCTGCTCAGCCTTCACCGGGCTTCGCAGGCCCCTAGGTCACCTTCCCGGACAGCCCAGACAGACCCTGCCAACTTTCCAAACTTCGCCCTTCCCAGCTAGGGAATGAACCCGGGGAACTGGTTTTTCTGTTCCCTGCTGGGTGGGAATGGGCTCTTCACCCGGAAGAAGGCTTTGGGGGGGAGGGGGGAGCCGGGAGGAGGCTCCAGGCTTCGGATCCCTTGTTTGCCTTCTGGCAGGAAGTCCTTTAGGGAGCCAGCAGGGCGGGCCAGGAGAAAGAAGGTTTACATTTCAATCATCCCTGGCCGGGGGCTGGCCCGGATTGCGGTGGGAGATGGCACCCCCTGGGGCAACAGCAGGGAACTGACACCCACCACTGAGGGAAAAGCTTGGCTCCTAGGGAGCGGTACCCCCCACCTCCCCCAGCTGGGGATCCCCTCCCTCTGCAGGCAGAACCCACTCTGCGGGGGGCGGGAGGGGGGCTCAGCACACTCTCCAGGATTGTTCAGCCTCCCTGCAAATGTCCCCAGAGCGTCCCTATGTGAGTCACCCCCAAGGCAAAGGTCCAAACATCAGCCAGGACAATGACACCAGAAGAGACCAGATGGGCTAGTCACACACCAAGTCCCGAGGCAGCCGCAGGACCAGGCACCAGGTGTCCTGATTGTCTCACTATGGAGTTTCCCTGGGAGTGAGGGGCAGGGGTCCCTGCTGTCCCGCCCCACACCTATGCCCTCTGCTCCAGAGAAACCCTCCGCCCCTCCCTCCCTGGCTCACAGCCGCCACCTGGACAGGTCTGCTCCATGCAGCTCTAGCCAGGCCTCCCGCATGCTGCCTGCTTCCGGCCGGCCCCACACAGGCCTGGCCCGGCCCACGGGTCCTCTCCTGTGAGCTCCCAGTCCAACCCATGCATGGCCTCCCAGCCGCCCTTATCTCCAGGCCCAGTCTGACCCCACATGTTCTTTCCTTCCATCCTCAGCAAGTGCTGAGTCTGTGAATAAAGCCACGTGACTAGTGGGCGCAACGGGGCCTTCTTCCCTGTGTGGATCCAGGGCCTGGTCTAAACCTGGGGCAGAATGGGACAGGGAGGGCCCAAGAATTGAGGACTGTGAGCCACTGTCCTGGGGCGGCGGGGGGTCCCAGAAGGGGCAGCATTGAGTGGCTGGATCTCCTGACACCTGTGGGCCCCAGCACCCCGGAGTCCCCGGCTCAGGTGAGTGGGGCTGTAATGGGCAGGCCTGGATACTGGAAGTAGGGAGGCCAGGTGGAAGATATTGCCCTTGCCCGTAGCCCAGCATATTTTCTAACAGCTCTGCCGTATGTGGCTATTCCAGGGGCCCCTTATACCCGGGGAGAGCGGAATGGCTCCAAGGCCCCATTTACAGACGGGGACACGAAGGCCCAGTGACCCAGGAGGACTCTTTAGGGTTCCCCTACACAGCAACACTCAGGCTTCCAGATAATTCACAGCCTCCTGACCCCTGGACTACAGAGATGGGGTGCCAGGCCAAAGCACTGCACAAAGGTGACCCTCAGACCAGGTTCTAAGGCATTTCATTGGTGAGAGGAGCCCTAAAGCCTAAAGTAAAGGAAGCTCAGAGCGGGTAGTCCCACAGCATAGAGCAGTGATTCTCAAAGTCTGGTTACCATTGGGAGTCCTCAAGCCCACCCTTAGGTTCAAGGATTCACTAGAAAGGCAACCAGAACTCAGCAAAGCCATCACGCTCATGGTTATATTTTATTACAGTAAAAGAATATAAATTAGGGGCGCCTCGCTGGCTCAGTTGGAGAAGCATTCGGCTCTTGATCTCGGTGTTGTGAGTTCGAGTCCCACATTGGCAATACAGATTACTTAAAATCTTTAAAAAAAAAAAAAAGGATATAAATTAAAATCAGCAAGGGGCGGCTGGGTGGCTCAATCGGTTAAGCATCCGACTTCGGCTCAAGTCATGATCTCACGAGTTTGAGCCCTGTGTCAGGCTCTGTGCTGACAGTCAGCTCAGAGCCTGGAGCCTGCTTCAGATTCCGTACCTCCCTCTCTCTCTGACCCTCCCCTGCTCATGCTGTCTCTCTCTCAGAAATAAATAAAAAATATTTTTAAAAATTTTTAAATAAATACATAAATTAAAATCGGCAAAAGCACATAGGGCAGAGTCCAAAAGAGACCAGGTCAAACTTCGAGGTGTCCTCTCCCAGTGGAGTCATGGGGACAGCACTTAATTCTCCCACGTGTGACAACATGTATGAAGTATTGCCCGCCAGAAAGCTTACCTGAGCATTGAAGTCCAGTATTTCTACTGGCAATTGCTCATGTAAGCATGGCTGACCCTAGTTACTTAGTCTCCAGCCCCTGCAGAGGTTAATCTGACACCACAAGGCCCAAAGCCTCTAGAAAAGCAAAGACACGCTTATCAAGCAGAATATCCCAAGAGTTTAGGGGTGATCTCCCAGGAGCCAGCTAAGGGCCAAACTGTTCTTTGGAATGGGCAGGGTTTGGACAACCCAGACCCCCTGAGTTCATCCTTGAAGGTACAGTTGTCCTGACCAGTAGCAGTAGTATCACCCAGGATCTTTTAGAACTAGAGGTTCGCAGGGTCACCCCAGATTTACTGAATCAGAAACTCTAGCCATGTGCTTCATCGAGCCCTCAGGGTGTTCTGATGCAGGCTGAAGTTGGAGGAATGCTAGCCAGAGGAACGAGGTCCTGGGTGGGGTTAAACATTTGCAGAGAGGGAATGGAAGTTCACCCCACACACAGCTATCGGGACTTCCGGAAGCCTTATTTAAAAAAAAAATTTTCTTTTAATGTTTATTTATTTTTGAGAGAAAGAGGCAGACAGAATGCGAGTGAGGGAGGGGCAGAAAGAGAAGGAGATGCAGAATCGGAACCAAGCAGGCTCCAGGCTCTGAGCTGTCAGCACAAAGCCCAATGTGGGGCTCGAACTCACCAGCCACGATATCATGACCTGAGCCGAGGTCCGATGTTTAACCCACTGAGCCACCAAGGTGCCCCCCTACCCCAAAGCCTTTGGAAAAGAAGCTGCCAATGCTATGGGCAGGGGCAATCCACAGGAAAGGGAGACAGGACAGGCTGGCCAGGAGCACAGCACCGTGAAGAGCGGCCCCAGGACAATGACCCCAGGCCCCTCTCCCTCCAGCACAGCTTTCTGGGAGTCACCTCTAGATTCTGGGAGTGCCCCACCCTCGCCACTGCTCCCTCATGGCCCTGAACCCCCTTTAGGGTTAAACACCCTGCCCTGTGCTGATGGCACTGGAATGGATGTCCCGGTGGCCGAGAGACCCAGGAAGCCAAGGGGTGTTGGGAAAGCACTAGAATCAGATTGGCCTAGAGCCCCCACTGGGAGCCAAGAGTGGGGGGTGGGAAGCAGGGCTGGTATTCACATCAAGAACAGGGCTAGCAGTTCACACTCCGTCCCTGGCCCCAGGCGCAGGTCCCACCTGCCCAAGCCCCCGTCCCCACACAGCCGCCCGCAAGCCTCTTATTTTTAGTGCCCTCACCTCTGCAAGGGGAACGGGTTCCTCGCTGAAGAGTGAAGAGGATGAGACAGACTAACAGGAAAGCACCTCCATGGCTCTGTGAGCGGCGTTACCACAGGACGAGGCTGTTCTCAGGTAAAGGCCAGAAACCAAGCGGTTCCAGACCCACACCTTTCCCTCCACCTGCAGCGGGGGCTTCAGAGTCCAGAGTCCCTTCCCCCACCCCACCCCACAGCCAGGGGGGAAGAAACACGGCTTGAGGGAAAAAGTAGCAGGGGGCAAGCCTGGGTCGGAGGAGGGCATGCAATCCCCGAAGACATCATCCCAGGGCCCTGCAAGCCCCTGCAGCAGGATTCCTTCAGAGCCAGCTGCCAGGAGATGGAGGAAATGGCTCGAGTCTGACAGGAGGCTCAGTGGCTGGACATGGCATCAGTCCACCCCAAACACCGCACACAGACACACACAGACACACACACAGACACAGACACAGACACACACACACACACACACACCACGGAGGGAGTCCTTCTTGGCCCCAGAAACAAGGCTGTCATATGTGAACGAGAAGCAGAGAAAGAATGAGGTGGCTCTGTGAATGTCACCTCCTCCCCTACCAGGTTGGAGTGGGCCCGGGAAAGGGCACTGGTCAGGACTCTCTCCTTGGGGGCTGCCCCCTCCCGGCCTTGCCACCCTGCCATTGTGGTACTTTGGCGCCATCTGCTGGCCACCCAGAGAATAGCCCTGCCGAGAATCACGGCGCTTAGAACCTGCCTGGCTGCTTCCCAGAGAACAGGACCACGGGGCAAATGATAGAGTAGACGGTCTTGGCCACCTTTGCAACTGTCCCCACACCTCGACAGGAAGCCAGGGCCCCGGGAGGATCACTTCGCTTGGCTGTCACGCTAAAACTGTTGAGGCAGGCCCGACCTCTCTCCTGTATGCCAGCTTCACCGGACAAGTAGACTTGGCATCCGGACAGCCCCACATTCTCCAAGTGCCTTTTTTTTTTTTATATAAAGTGTTTTTTTTTAATGTTTTATTTATTTCTAGGAGAGAGAGAGACAGCGTGAGCAGGGGAGGGTCAGAGAGAGAGGGAGTCACAGACTGAAACAGGCTCCAGGCTCTGAGCTGGCAGTCAGCACAGAGCCCGACGCGGGGCTCGAACCCACGAACCGCGAGATCAGGACCCAAGCGAAAGTCGGACGCTCAACCGACTAAGCCACCCAGGCGCCCCTCCAAGTGCCTTTTGAAATCCTCAGTTTCCTTCCTCGCAGGCTGGCTCTGATTTTACAGAACAGCTGCAGACCCAACCAGACATTCAGGCAGTTACCTGCTCACCTTTATAGCACAAAAGCCTTTTGAATGCCAGGTGCCCCACACCAGCCTCAAGCTCCAAAGACTTTGGGGTGATGTCTTTGTTCTCAGCACCCTTGCAACACGCACAAACTGCTCAACTCCAGGAATCTGACTATCACACAAAATAGGCCTGAAAATTACTGTCACTCTTCCATCTGGCCCCTGTACTTCCTTCACCCCAATTCCTGGGGTTCCTGGCCATCACCATGCACTCAGCGCTCCATCCAGAAATCTAGGAATCATCTTGGACTCCTCCTTTTCATTCCCTGTACCCAGCTGGTCAGTCCACCTCCTGAATAGTTCTCAAATTCATCCAGTGCTCTCCATCCCCACTGTCAGCATCCTAGTGCAAGAGCCCCTTAATTTAGGGGTTAACAAACTTTCTCTACAAAGGGCCGGATAGTAAATGTTTTAGGCTCTGTGGACCAAGAGGCAAAATTAAGAACATTATGTAGGTACTTATGTATTATAGTCTCTGTCACAGCTACTCAATTTTTCCATTGTTAGGCAAAAGCAGCCATAACCAATACATAAGCAAATGAACATGGCTGTGTTCCAATAAAACTTTATTTAAATTCCACTGAGATTTGAATTGCACCTAATGTTCACGCGTCACAAAATATTATTCCTCATTTGATTTTTTAAATCTTTTTTTCACCATTTAAAAATGCAAAACCCGTTCTTAACTTACAATGGGCACAAAAACAGGCCAACCAGCTGTAATTTGCCAACCGCCGACTTAATTGATCTCATTCCCATTCATCCTCCATGCTTCGGCCAAAGTGATTTTGCCAAAATATAGAATTGATGCTGCCAATCCCTTGCTGACAACTAGCCAATAGCTTGAGATAAAAATGCAAGCCCCTCAGCCTCCAAAAGCCTTCCATTCAGTGCTTCTTCAGTCTCTTCTGTGACCCCTCACCTCCTAGACCCTACACAGCCCCTGAAATTCTCCTGGTCCTCACACAGACCCCAAGCCCACTCATTCCTGCTTTTCACTCCCTCCAGTTTCTCTGCTTGGAATTTTCTTGCCCCACTAAAAAGGGAAAGGTTCTGTTTCCTTTACATTCTACTCACAAAATTTCTGACACCAAATGTGTGGGATTTTTCCTTCCTGCACCAGCCAATTCTCCAACATTAGCCAGGTGTCCAACAATTGATTCTTC